GGGGGGGGGGGGGGGGCTATGACATGTGCCAAGAATAAGAGCCTGCGGAAGAGGCAGTCACCGTGACACCACCTCATATATAAAATATTTACTGTATATATGTAACCTCCACTGCACTAAAGTCTTGAGGGAATTTCTTAGTTGCTAATGCTTGCATTTTAAAATCTGGTGTAAATCATGACATATTAACAATATTTACTGTAGCTCTCAAAACCCAAAGTATTTTGGTTTATCTGACTGGCTTAGCCAGATGGGATAATTTTTTTTTAAATGGGCGGCCCTATTAGGGTTTTTTGGGATATTTAACGTTTTGAGTTGCATTGCACCCTAATTTAATGCACCATACATTGTTATTTTACTCTGGCTAATGCCAAATGATTTTGCTCATCAAGGAGAAAATGCTGGCACTGACTCTTGAATGGGTTAGTTAAGGGAAAAATCATAGGGATACAGGATGAACTTATACAGGTACAGGATACTAGAAGATTAATGTATTTGCTTATTTTGATAATATTTTACCCCTTAATTTTTATTGGACCCTAATGCACCCTTGTTTATTATTTTGCTCGGTCTAATGTGGTAAGCCAGACAGTTTTACTTGTCATAGCGGTTAATCAGTGGGTTAACCAGACTATCTGTCTATGTGTCCAGTTAACTTATTATGTTGCATTGCATCCTAATGCGCTCTACTTTATTGCTTTGCTTTGTTTAACGCCAGACAATTTTAGTTTGTCAAGAGGAGTGTGCTGGCACTCAATGGATTAAGTCATTTCTATTGATAGTCACAAAATATGGTCAACATAATTTTTTTTCTCAATATTTTTCAAGTTTTTACTAATTCATATGAAGTATTTCTCCATTAACTCTGATTGCTCCCATTGTCACTAGTTATTCAACAATCTTGTTACCAAATATCTGTTACCCAGTCTCCTGTTCTGTGACACACCAAGAGCCTGGTGGGGCATTTACAATTACGGAGGTTTCAGAAATAGAAATATTAGCTGCCCTCCCACGAACCAGGTCCAAATACAACAGTAACAAGATCTGGAAGTTCACAGACTGAGGCCAAACAATGAGCATTATTTGCTTTGTCTTTGACATTTCCGGATTGTTTGTGACCTTCATCACGGTTTTCGAACTTTTCTCCTTTATTTAAGCAAACCGTAACACAGTACGAAGTTCTTGAACAAGTTCGTCAATATAGTTAAAGTAATAAAATACGCGGTAATGTAGTCCTTGAAATGATTAAGCGGAGCTCTAAGAAACACGTCCGATCATGAGTGCAACCGTCTGTCTTGTAATGTATGAAACCATATGTATATAGCAACCCAACTAATTGCAAATGTCTGCGTAGGTTCAACAAAGTTGTATCAGCTCAACATTATCTCTTAATACTTCTACATGGGTTTTTATGTCATTTACATTTTACTTTAGGTGGAGAAGAGGGGAGTAGCCACGCCGAAACGAGCCAGAAGGATGAAAGCAAAAGTGATGCTGGGATGGTATCTTTGGAGGAAATTAATAGTATTGCACGAGAGGATGAATTAATAGTATTGGATCCACGCCCAATAAATAACCAGGAAAAACAAGAAGGTGGAAAGGAGGAAAAGGCGATTGCTGAAAAAGAAGTTATTTCCAATATTCAGCGTGACATCGATAGCAATTTGAAAAGTACTGGGGAAGAATGAAGACAAAGATTCTAACATTACAACAAAATTGTTTGTTCATAGTTCCTGGCTTGCCGTTCACAGTTCTTACTTCAAAGCCATGTTTTCGTCTGGTATGAAGGAAACCCATTTAAAAGAAGTGGTCATGAAAATCCATAAGTCTGAATATCAAGCTCATTTAACTTTAATCGAAGCAATATACAAGCTGGATGTTTTGAATGATAAAGAGTGCAGCCTCGTAGTTGACGTTCTTACATTAGCTGACAAGTATGATGTGAATCTAGTGTTTAAAAAATGCAAATACGTTTTGATTGAAACATCCATCTCCATGGAAGAATGCGAGTATATCCTGAAAGTCGTATCTGATATTCAAGGCTGTACTGACGTTCTTGATGCAATGGAGACGTTTCTGGTAAAAGAGTTTAGCCCACTGGACAAAACGTGGCTTTCACAAAAATTCTACACACTTTCCAAACCGTCACTAAAGATTCTTTTGGGCAGTGATAAATTGGTGGTAGAGTCAGAAAATACGGTTTTTGTTGCACTAATGAAATGGATTGATTGGAATCAACTTGAAACCATTGACGACGGGCGTTGTATGTTATCACTGGTGAGATTTGAATTGATGACAGTAGATTTTATGTATGATATTGTACGGCATCATACAACAGCGAAAAAATTAGATGGTTTCAACGAATTTCTTCAGAATGGTTTGGCTTATCGCGCTTTCTCACTGTCCAGATTGCAGGAACTGGAGATCAAACCAGTCAAACGATGTACTTATATTAATAATAGTAATGATCCAACGTTTTCTTGGGTTATTGGTCAAGATGAACAAAGAGGCCTGATCGAGCGCGGTCATACTGTATCGGGTCCCTTTTGGTTAAAGGGATACATGATGGATCTCCAGCTCAGTTATGAGGAAACACCCCCCGACCAGAGTTATGAGTTGTTTCTGTTCGTCGAAAACATGAAAGAAAAGCCGGCAAGAGGACATGTTGAAATCAGCTGGAGGGCAAAGTCTGACTTGTTTGCAGGAAAGAAAGTTAGTTGTTCGAAAGATATATACACGTGCTCGTCGGAGGGTTCTGGCACGTCAGAAATAAAATGCAACATTGCGCCATCTCTAGAGCCAAATAACTTGTCGCAGATGATAGACGTCTGGGTTGATCTTAAATAACTTTCAATATTTCAATTGTTGTACGAACTATTCTACATGCACGGACACTGATATACAGTACTGTGCAACTTGGACGTTTTAAGAAAATATCTGTTTAATCTGAAACTAAAAGCTATAATGTCCTATAATGTTTTATTTGTAGTGCAGGACCTGCAGGCGGTTCATTAATTTTATATCGGAAGAAACACCCGCTGTAAAAATCATCCCATTCGAAATATTCGTAGTTTATTAATGAACACAATCACGAAAAAGTTTGGGGTTAGGGTTTCGCGTTAACTCTACGGTTAGTGTTAAACATAAAACTAGAAACGGCATTATACTTGCTAATAAAATATTTGAATGTTCAAAAGATCAGAATGCTCAACACGTCTTTTGGTTTGTAAATAGTCCCCATAAATTTCGAAACAAAATCCATATCTGCTTTACCTGCCGTCACCTGTTCCATATCTATTGGGACGATCGAGTGGGTCAGTGGCACGTAAAGTAGAGTATAATATACGAACCGAGACAAGATGTTTTGTGAGCATTCTAATGTTTCGAACAATGAAAACATTTTAACATATGAAGTTATGAAGGCGTTATAAAGAACATTCTTGGGGGTAGCGATTTACAAACTCTGTCTCTGATTGGTTAGTTCACGATTGTTATGAGAATTGCACATTTTATCAATAATTTTAATAAAGTTAACCGTTGTTTCACTGTAGTCATTTTATAAATCAATTACCGAATGGTTTATTATTATTACAACTTTATTTCAATACGGAGCTATTTCACAATATTAAACTAACTAAATATATACAGAGAGAAAACAAAATGAGTGATCTTCCAATAGGCCGTATAATTATATAAAAAGTATTATTACTTTCGTTGCAATTAAAGCTTATTTTTGAAACATTGGATGGTTTGAGATCTTTTAAGATCACAAGGTAAACTATTGCAAGCCACCGCACCCCTGTAACTAACTTCTTGATATTAGTGTTTGATTTACGTGGAAAATAATTTTGCACCTGTCTCGTTTCGTATTGTGTACGACATCGGTTCTTTGAAATAAATTTGATATGGAGTGAGGAACCATTGAATTTCTAACTTTGAACATTAGTGTAAATGTTCATTAATCTTTATTCATGTTTTATCTTTAGGTTACTTGGTTTTGGCCGGGTAAACAACGTTGATGACTCGGCCTTTATCTTAATTTACAAATCTTAAAATACAAAAGGCTTGTCCTTTCGTATTAAACATGTTCT